CAGCATGGCATACTTCAGAATAAATTATTGCAAACTTCTATTGCAAACTTTCTATTCCAACAAAATACTATTACTGTTGTAATTTTGTTAGAGATGCCTAATAAAGAAATATTTTAGAAATAAACAAAGCATATGTGTTTGGTAGCTATGACCCAAACATTGTTTAAAGAAAGTAGTAAATATGCAAGCAAGTTAAACTCACACCAGTTGTTATAAACATGATGACCCACAGGTGACTTGACTTTGCCTTCTAGCACAAAAACTATCATGCTTGAGTTGGTAGCTTTTGCAGTAACTGCAGACAGAATTTTTCTAATCTTTATTTCTCCTTGAATGTTATCACAGCACAGTGCCCAATTTCACTAGCTGAATGCCTATGAATTAACAGTATTTTTAATTACTTTAGATACAATCTATATTTAAGCATTCTTTCCATTTTACATTCATTTTTCTTCCATTCATTATCGAAGTCTTTCTTCTCACTAGACTATTTATATTTTAATTTATGTGGGCTTTAACAACATACTGACTCCAGTACCGTCCTAATTAAATTAAATTTACTTGCATGGATTTGAACAGCAACCCACATTGACCTCAAAAGTACTCCTTTTTCTTCTTTCCAATACATTTTACTGTCTATCAAAGAATTATTTTCCCCAGGCCTTACTACTATTTCAGTCAGCTGATGCCTTTGTGCAACTAGTCCTCCAATACATATCCAGATTAGTATATCAGCTTTAATAAAATTACAGGCCAAACCCTAAATGGACTGCACTTTTTAGTCCATAGATGTTATTTAGGTCACTTCAAATAAATAATTGCAGAGCAGCTTCTGACCACACAAGAAAGAAGGGACTTAGATTTCAAGACAGGATTTTTCCCCATAGCCATCATTCCCAATATTCTTCATAATTAAAACACTACTCAAAACCATCTTTCTAGAATAGTCAAAGAATCGAAGCTGAAAGCATGGCTCACCTATGACTTTTCCTTTCATAGCACATAAATTCAACCCTGAGCAATCCCAAGAAAGTGCCAGTACTTTTCCTCCTACAGTGACAATCTCACCTTTTGCACTTCAATTTTACCCTTCCAAAACCCAGATTTTCTAACATTTTAAATTATTTATTTTTTAAGGTAAAATACATATACTTCTATATCACCATTTTGCCCCTTCTGTTATGCACAGGTGTATTGAGTGGTTTTTTATTTTTCCGTGTTTACATTTCCTACACCTCCTTCCTGCCTACTGCAAGTTGTCTTCTTCCAGCGTAGAATCTTTTCTAGATAGAATTCTCATATGTAATGCTCAGTGAAAGAAAGCTCTGAATTCAGCTTTCCTTCAAAAGAAAAAT